AGCTTGCTCATGTATCTTCCTAGCAATTGCTGAACCTGACCCTGATCAGAGGATTGATTTGACCTGTGTTCACTTCGTTTGGCTTGGTCTTGGACCTGCTTCATAATCCCCAACTTGCTTGACATCCTGGAATCGCGGCTGAACTTGGCCCAGGTCTCTCTTCCTGCCCTACTGCTTTTGCTCAGGTACTATGGGATGGGTCCTGCACCCCATGGTGTTCTCCTTTGGCTCTGTTTAGATAGATATAGGAGACAAACTCCCGTGGCAGTCTACAGGCTCCTGCAGACTAGAGTCCATCACCTTCTGCACCCAACAGCCCAGCCATGCTCACTGTTCTGCCAGTCCCTCTCCATCCAGACCATGTCACTACGTGGGCAACTTAGTAGATAGTCTATTCAGTGAGGGAAATTAGAGTGAGAAATTGAACATTACACTCAAGTGTTATTTTTTTGGTCCGATTTCAAAGGCCTCTGTCCTTCCTAACTTTTCAGCATTTAAGTGCATTGATTGTGGCTCCCTCCTTGACCACAAGTAGATGACACTTTTGCCCCAGACCTAAGTCACCATCAACAGGCTTAATTTGGAAGTGACATAGATAATTTGATTTTCCCTGGTGTGCTTTAGCATGAGCTAGGCATGGACATGGGATGTGGGTGCTTATTTCCAGCTTATTTCCATTTATCTCACCATTTAAGTAAATAGGACTTAAGATGAATGTACTGCACCCCTTAATACGAATGGCATGAGCCCTCAATGTGCCCAAATTCTCCTTACCACTGGGTGGTCTCAGCACAGTTCATCATTCTGAGTTATGAATTCCATTGCTTACAATTCCCTTCTCTGAAGTGAAATCTCTTGTGAAGCTGCAGCCTGGGGAGGGATTCCCCTTGGCATTCAAAGGTGCAGCTTGAGACCTTGATTCTTACCTGCTCCTTCCTTTGAAAGGCACAAACAAATGCAACGAATCTTTTGAAACCTTTTCTCTGACTCTTTTTCAGCAAGCAAATGTAAAACTGCACTTCCTCTTCCCTCCCACCCCAGCAGCTTTAATAAAGAACTCATAGGTAAGAGGGAGGAATTTTATTGGAGCTGAGGGACAAGGTCCAGAATCTTGCAAAAAAAACACCACAAAACATATTTATGAGTGACAAAAGCTATAATTGAATAAAGCTGATTGGTATTTCCTGTGAGGAAAAGAGGCCTGAGATAATTCAGAGCAATTTCTTCATATAGGCTAGTAACTGCAAAGTAAATTGAAGTTTGAGATTCCTTCTCCTCTTGATTTCTTCCAGGGACGATGTGATGGCTGGGTCCATTTCTCATTCAATACTGTCACTGACTTTTGTTCAGAAAATGTGGAAGAACCTACATAAAATCATGAGGGTTAGTGAAAAATCCCAGTGTTTTAGTGCCCCATAGGCTTTCTCATTTGACATGAAATCTTCATGTCCTGGATGATACAACTCTTTTATGTTGTAACTGGCTGAAAAGCCTTCTCCTGCACTCCACCAGAGCCCCCTTCCCCTCTTTGTTCCTCAGGCTGTAGATGAATGGGTTGAGCATGGGGTTGACCATGGCGTAAAAGATGGAGTCCACCTTATCTAGGCTTATCTAGGAGGTTGTAGATACATGAAGAATCCTGTCCCAAAGTACATGGAAACAGCCATCAAATGGGAGGCGCAGGTGTTGAAGGCTCTGGCCCTGCTCTGTGCTGAGCACATCCTCAGCACGGTGCGGATGATAGAGATGTAGGAGAGCAAAATGATCACACTTGTCCCCACGATATTGATGGTGAATAAGGCAAAGAAGACCATCTGATTGGTGTGGGTGTCAGAGCACACGAGCTTTAGCACAGGGACTACATCGCAGAAGAAGTGGTCAATGCTGTTGGGACCACAGAAGGAACCTCCAAACATGCACCATGTGCAAATGATGGCACTGAGGAAGGCGAACAGGTAGGATGATGCTATCAGCTGCCAGCAGACACGGCTGGAGATGATGGTCACATAAAGCAGGGGGTGGCAGATGGCAACGTGCCGGTCATAGGCCATCATGGCCAGGAGGTGACATTCGGCATTTGCAAGGAAAGCAAAGGTGAGGAACTGCGTCATGCAGCCAAGGAAAGAAATGTTTTTCTTCTCTGCTAACAGGTCTGCCAGCATCCTGGGGGAGATGACTGTGGAATAGCAGATTTCAATGAAGGCAAAATGGGTGAGGAAGAAGTACATGGGGGTGTGGAGACTGGGAGACACCTGAACCACTGTGATAATGCTTAAGTTCCCCACCAAAGTGACAATGTAAATAAATAGAAACAAGACAAAAGAGGAGTCTGCGCACAAGGGCTGTCTGTAATTCCTAATAGGATGAATTCAGTCTGGGTTTGATTTCCCACCATGACGTGTCGTTACCTGCTGAGGCAAAAGGAAGGGCAACATAACACCTTTTAAAAGTGGCAATTCACTTTTGGACCATATTTAACTCCAATCACTCACCATTTTAACTGCCACATTTCAGTTGAATTCTTATATTTTGCTATATTTTTAACACCAAATTATATGTTTTTTGGTTTTCAGTTAAGGTATTTATAAAAGAACAGGAAGCACACTGAAGCAACGAATGACATTTTTGGTTTTCTATGCTGAAACACTTAAAACAATAGATTTATTTAGGCATTTTTGGACCATATTTTAATCCAAACAATGACCAGTTTAACTGCCAAATTACTGTATATTCTACTGTATTTTCTAACCCAAATTATATACATTTTATGTTATACAGTTGAGGTATCTTGAAAAGAACAGGGACCGCATTCAAGGAACAAATGGTATTTTCAATGTTAGGACTCTTAAAACTATGGATTTATTCAAGCACGTATGTTTTCAGCCACTGCTCACTGTTCTGCCAGTCCCTCTCCATCCAGACCATATCACTGCACGGGCAAAATTGGAGATAGTCTATTCAGTGAGGGAATTAGAGTAATCAATTGATATTTCTACTTGAGTGTTATTCTCCGGTCATTAATATCACCTCCATTTTCCAAATATAATAGTAGAATAATGTTTTTGAGTAGGTGGGTAACACTGTGGTTTGGTAATGGGTTTCCAGTCTTAGTAAAAGCTCACAAAGCTGTCCAGCTTGAGTGTTTCTGTAGTTACAAGGTGCTGAGATGTCATCACTAAGAGATGCTCTTTGTCAATAACCTCACAGCAATTTCTGATTTCAGTGTATTCTGGCTCCCAGAAGACAGCCCATCTCATGGGTTGAGGCAGTAATAGCTCCAGATGTCTAACTTGTGAAGTCACTAAGGCAACTTTCCAATTATATTTGAAGGGGGGAGAACCAAGGTTAGCATGGGGTGATGTGCCCAGTGAGACTGCTGGCAGCTTATCTCAACCATCTAAGCTGGAAAGCAATAAATAGCAAAGAAAGGAGCCTCTGGGAGACACAGCCATACATGGCCAGCCAACACCATGTAGAACTAAACAGAGAAAGAAAGGAGACTTGGAGGATTTCATGGAATGGTGAAGCACGGCATCATAGAATCACAAAATTTCTTCTCTGAAGCTCTGATTTATAAAGCAAGCTACAAGGTGGAAAAATACTATCGAGACAGAGATGCTTCTGTGCAACAGTCATGCAAATGGGCAAGGAAGATCTGCTTAGAGGCAATGCCATAGGAATGTAGCAGTGATTGCCACAGAAGCTTAAATTGCTTTTTCTCTTTGCAAGCATCTCCTTGCTTATCGGTAATGGTTATACTGGGACAAATATAAACATGTACAGAAGAAATGTCTAATATCTTATGTATTTACCCCCTCTCCTGACACAATCCTTTTTGGGGATGTATTTTATCCTATTTAAGAGATCAGCATAGACAATTTCAATTGGATATGCTCTATTTGTCTGTATTGTTGCCTTTCTAGCTCCCCTCAGCAATGACAAGGTGCAGGTTCTGTCTTTGAATGATTTCCTTGGAGTAAGGAATAAGAGATAGGCACAATAATAGCTCAGCCTGAAAGAGGCTGGGTCTTCAGCGGGAAGCCAGAAGTGGCATCTCAGGTACTGTTTTGGGGGATGGTGGTGGAACTAGATTTAAACTACCTTCAAATGTCTGTGTTTGAGACACATGGTTGTGTTATAAATCCTTTCTAAAAGGAAGTTTTACTTCCTAACCTTAATCTGGCATGAAATCAGTTGCTTGAAAGTATTTGCTGTTTGCTTAAAATGTAAGTTGAATGATAGAAATTAAAGGGAAAAGCACATTTTTAACAAATCACCAGTGAAGCTGGAAGATACTGGAGAAGGAAAGATAAATGCATATGCCCTTCTGTCTCTTCTATGTATTTATTCTTATGAGATGAGAGCAGCTATTGAAATGCAGTTTAGCCCCCAAAGTAGCCACTAACCTTGTTATTAATCAGTTGTTTTTAATGAAAACCAACATATTGCTTTTGTTTCTGAGCATTTAGACTAAGGAGCAACAAATTCAGACTCTGAGCTACCTGGGGTAATGAAAAGTGTGAAAAGAGTTTCTGGGACATCTTCAACCTGAAAAGCAGCATGAAAGTTAATATTCCTTTACTTTGTGTATTATCACAACAGTCAACATGAGCTGCTCTTCCCTGAATGTGGAGAAAACTGCAGGCAGATGGAAACATAGTGAAGACCATGGTGATGGCCAAGGGAAAACTTGTTTTGCTGGCTTCAGACTTCCTTTGAAATCAGCGTGTGAAGATAGAAGATATATTCAAAGCTTGGTTTAAGAGCTTGAGTGATAGATGTAGTCAGTGACTCCCTGCATGGGCAGGTGGTTGTGGACCATCTAAGCATCCTGCCAACCTGCCTGGCAGTGTTTCATTAGAGAACGTCTTCATTATCTACAGAGTACAGGATTAAACCCCACTAATAATTAAGCAAGGGATTAAGCCATCATAACCAAGGTCATGCAAACCACCCCGCTGCCTGGGAACTGGAAGCCTCTTGGACACTGATGGCTTGGGAAAACTGGACTACGGTGACAGAATTTGTTTTCAAGGGGTTCACAGATTGCCTCGACTTCCAGGTTACACTCTTTGTGTTTTTCCTGTTCATCTATGTCACCACCATGATAGGAAACCTTAGCATCATTGCTGCAGTCTGGCTCGATTCCCAGCTTCAAAGCCCCATGTACTTCTTCCTCGGCCACTTGTCCTTCTTGGATCTGTGCTACTCCTCCGTGGTGACACCCAAAATGCTGCTGAACCTCTTGTCTGAGAGGAAGACTATTTCTTTTGTTGGCTGCTTCCTGCAGCTCTATTTCTATGCTGCTTTTGCAATCACAGAGTGCTACCTCCTGGCTGGGATGGCATATGACCGCTATGTTGCCATCTGCAACCCCTTGCGTTACCCCATCCTCATGTCCAAGAAGGTCTGTGTTTCCCTCTTAGCTGGGTCCTATGCAGTTGGGCTTTTTAATTCAGCCGTCTTCACAGGCTTTGCATTGAGGCTGTCCTTCTGTGGCCCCAATGTCATTGACCACTTCTTCTGCGATGGGCCACCACTCTCAAAGTTGGCGTGCTCTGATACTTCTCTCAGCCAAGTGTTGCTATTTGCTTTTGGGGGCTTCAATGAGGTCACCACAATAGCAGTCATCCTCATCTCCTATGGCCACATCCTCTTCACCGTCCTGAAGACAGGCTCTGTACTGGGCAAAGCTTTTGGTACCTGTGCATCCCACCTAGTGGTTGTAACCATCTTCTATGGGACCCTTATCTTTATGTACCTACGGCCCAGTTCCAGCTACAACCTGGGTAGGGACAAAATAGTTTCTGTCTTTTACACCATGGTGACCCCAATGTTGAACCCTTTCATCTACAGCCTGAGGAACAAGGAGGTAAAGAGTGCTCTGAAGAGAACAATGGGGAGAATGATGATTTCCCTGCCAGAGTGGTAAATGGTTTGACACTTGGGCAGTAATGGGAATGGGGTTGGTGTTTTAGAGTCTTTTTGAGGTTGGAGAGAAGCTGTGATAATACTTCTATATATTATTGTCCATTTCGTAGACCAGCTTTATCGATGTGGGATTAATTTGCTATACGTTTGCCTCTTGATAGTGTATTTCATAATAGGAGAAACACGTACTCACTGAAGAGCCACCAAAGGTTGATTTGTGATGAAACATGCTAAAATGTCCAGCTTGTTCCCGGATATTTGGAGGCAAGAAGAAATACTTCAAATGATTTTGTTTGTGTAAAGGATTGGACAGTGATGGTTCCTAAATGTACTGTTCAGTGGGATTGTTCAGTACACATATTCAAACTTAATGTAGAGTAAAGCCATGTTGCATTAGTTATAATCAAACTCTTATTTCTACTTTTATTCTCTCTTTTTCCTCTAAGCATGTAGTTCTCTGTATCTACAAGATCATTAGTTGTGGGATTTAACTGGCCAAAAGTGGAGTTTAATAAGTAGACATCACATCTGATCTCAGTCTCCCTCCTTAGAAGGAACTAAAGACCTTGGCAAAACCATCATGGGAAATGGCTCAAGTGAATGATGGTGCATAAAGACACAATAAAGATATATAAAGATATCAGCTGCATATAGAACACGTATCATGATTCTGACATATTTAACTTCAGGACGTCTGAATTTCAGGTGGCTAAGGCCCACCCAGCCTATGGGTCATGGCACTTCCTTAGGTCAGATTTCAGTTCTATATAACTTCAGTGGGTATTTTATTTCAAACTCCTTCTTTCCATTACCACCTTCATTATAAGAGGAAAATTAATAGGCTCAAAACATCCTCAGACACAACAGAGCTGATACAAGATGAGGAATTTAGTGATAAACACTTTGAAGGTTTATACCTAATAACCTGATGACTGTGTACCTGATTTCTACAAGTTGTTTTTCCTCCCTGTCATGCTGTTGTAAGAAGCAAAATGAGTTTATTCTGGCAATAATGGGAATATGTGTTTTTATTTGCCTTTTCAAGGAAGGAGAGTGTGTTTTGAGCTGTACCTGGAGGACTGGTAATAAAGTGGGAACAAACAGGAATCATTGGTGAAAGTGTTAGCACAGAAACTCCCCAAATATAAACCCTGCTGTTAAAATATTGCCATTTGTAGAAGCTAAACTCAACGAAACATCCATCTGGGGTCAACACAGCTGTCTGCATTGCTCTTCTCCATCCATATTTGTGTTTGTTGGTTCTGGTTGTGCTGGTGCCATTGATGGTTTCCTCCAGAAGCTCATGGGTTCCAGTGAGTCCTGCAGTGTTTCTCAGCCATTCCTTTGGCCAACTGAACGGTACCACTGGAGTTCACAGACTGGAAGATAACCTGGGACACCCATAGCTCATGTGTCAGTCTGTATGTCACGCTGACCTGGAGCAAGGTGAGCCCAAACCCATCTCATTTGTCCATCTCTCAGCCAGTCCTCTAGACTCTCAGTGATACAAATCACTGTGTCACTCAGTGACAGTCTCCCCAGGGAAGTGGTGGATTCCCTAACATTGGACACTTCAGCTTCAGCTGGAGAAGGTGCTGGAACACCTAACTTAGATCATGCTTTGCCTAGAAACGTTGGACCAGATGATCCTTGAGGTCCCTTCCAAACTGGTGTTCTCTGGTTCTGATGGAGAACTTAGTCTGTTCATGTGACCATGTGTGGGTCTTCTCTGGACATGGCAAATCCTCCCTTGGGCTACACAGACTCTATTGATCCATCCAATTCCCCCTGAGATATCATAGGATGTATGGACACAGGTCTGGCAGGCATGGCTTGTGTCCTTTAGGGTAGCCAGAGGGATGCATGGTAGGTCTCTGATAGTCCTGGACATCCATATCTAAACAGCTAAGCCACCACCTTCATTTCTACTGACTGCAGAGACTCTTGGCAGTTAGCTCATATACCAATGCTTAATGCTGTTGGCAACTAATGGATGAATAAATTGCACATTTGGATCAAACATGATCCAAATATGGCTCTGTTCATGCTGTCAGTCTAATCTCAAAGCATGGGCTTGTATTATTTAAAGGGAAAACTCAGCTATACTGAAAGAAACTGTGTGAATTTTAACCCCACAGAAAAGTTCCAGACACTGGAAGAATCTGATGTCTATTGAGTGTTTTGAGCAGAGAGAAATGACACTGAAGTTACCATGAACATACTATCAATTTCCTGCTACACCCCTCCAAAAACCTTTGCAGAAAGAACTGGATTAACATCATCCCTTTTCAAAACAGGTTGTAATGAAATGGGTTTGGTCTTGCAATAGAGGTGGAGCAGTGGAATGACCTGGCTCTGTGCAAAAAGGAGTCAAAAATGGGTAGCTGAGATACTCCTGGAAGTACCTGGAGCATAGTAAAAAGGTCCAATGGACCATCAGTCATGTTCTGACAAGTCGGCCCTGGATAGACCCCCCCTGTTCTTAACCATCAGTAGCCTTTCAGGCTCATTTAGGGCTTGGAGGCTTGGGTCAGCCTTCATCTTCTATAATCCCAGTTGTCTGCTCCAGGCATCCATCCAGAGGTAATTACCTAAACTTCTTGCAGCAGGTGTTTCAGATAATTGACATAGATTGCCCTTTGGGTGCACCTTCTCACCTCCCCCTTGATTCTTCAAAAGGGCTTGTGAAGAACAACCTGTGCTTGTTTGGATCTCTACCTTTCCTGTCCCTGGAGGCTGCTGAGAGGTGTAACAGGTTAGAGATCTTTGTGACAATAATTAGAAGAGATTTTCCATCAGCCTGTGTGCATAGCTAAGAGATTTTGCATTAACCTGTGACCATGGCTAAGCCTTTATTAGTAGTTTAGGCTGTTGTGACTCATGGGTTCTTATTCAGGGGCCAGCAATATCCAACCAAGTTTCATGTGTCTTAGAACCCTGAATTGTAGCCAAACCCGTGACAAACACTTGTTCCCAAGTGTTTGTGCCAGTTGCCTGCAAAGACCTTCAGGGAGAGATATAAAAGCAGCACATTGCTGCAAGTGAAGAACTTCATCTGATGAAAATAGGCTGGAAGCTCTTGAAGGTTCAGGAAGAGACAATTTGTTTGGCAGCTGGGAGGATGCCTTCAAGAGATAATCCCCTCGATTTGCTGTGCAGATATCCAGTGTCATCTAATGTGGGAGAGAACTTGCAGCTGTAAGAGGTGACCCCCATCCACAGGTATGTGAGACCATAACCATGAAAGGTCCAAGTTAGCCCTGCTCTGGTAGAAATCATTGCAGCAACTGGGGAGGCTGCTCAGATTTATGCCAGGTAAAGATTTGTTTCTCTGTGTTGGTTTAAAGAGGTTAAATATTCCTTGTGGGATGTATTCATAGAATCCCAGCCTGGTTTGGGTTGGAAGGGAGCTTAAAGCTCATCCAGCTCCAACCCCTGCCATGGGTAGGGACACCTTCCGCTAAAGCAGGTTGTTCCAAGCCCCTGTGTCCAACCTGGCCTTGAGCACTGCCAGGGCTGGGGCAGCCACAGCTTCTCTGGGCACCCTGTGCCAGCGCCTCAGCACCCTCACAGGGAAGAGCTTCTGCCTCAGAGCTCATCTCAGTCTCCCCTCAGGCAGGTTCAAGCCATTCCCCTTGGCCTGCCCCTACAGACCCTTGTCCAAAGCTCTTCTCCATCTTTCCTGTAGCCCCTTACGCACTGGTCAGATATCATTCTGCTTGTGGTAGGTTTAAGGAGCCTTGGAGAAGAAGAGAGGAGAAAACTCTCAAGGAAATATTAACCTAGCCACTGACCCTGAAGTAGTGATATTCACTTTAAAATGTAAAGGATATTTCTACAAAGAAATATTCTGCTGATGGAGAATGGATCTTCACCTCGTCTTCTGGTCCTGACACTCATCTGGTGGGGTAAGGTTTTTACCCTCATCTTTAATCCTGTAAAGATTTAGTTGTTTTATTGTGAACCTTCATGTTATCAGGGACAGAAACGTGTAATTCACACTTTCATGAGTGTGAGCAGCTTAACTTAGTGTCTAACTTAGACAACCAGATTTGAATGAGTTTGGCTTAGCACAGCTCAATGGTCTCATCATGGTGTTGAGTCCTGCTAATTGTATACTCTCTCTATTGTACTAAGGGAATAACATCTGCAGACCCAAATTTTGCTCGTGGTCTCCTGGCTTCACCTCCCCAAGGTTTCCAGGACTGCCATATTAAACTCTTCATGTCCTGAATGAGTTTTAGGGTCATGCAGCACCCCTTCCCTTCTCCTGCCTTAATTCCCAGCAAATTAAAAGCTCTTTTTCCTTCATCTCAGTGACTTTTCCAAAACTACCAAAGGAAAGCTACGGTATTTTTTGGCTTATATGAGTTATAGCCAGAAGCTGCTGCCAAGATCAGAGCTGTCTTCAGAGAAACTTGATCACAGGAGATCAAGGGCAGAGCTGATGGCTTGGTCTGTGTCACATCAAACCCTCTCTGCTGCTGTAGCCATTGGTCTCATCAAATTGTAGGTACCAAAATGGGATCCAGTGATACAAATGAACCTGCTCAAAGGTGTCTGGGGAGGCTCGGATGCTCTCACTTCAGAAGGGGCCTCCTCTTTCCTTGGGTTGTATAAGAGGGCAAACTTGGAGCAGATGGCCCCAGAGCAGTCCATTCCACTGTAGCTCCCTGGAAATGAACTGTGGGGATGGCCTCGGTGCACAGGGTGCCAATTGTCAAGTTATCCCATTCCAGTTCAAATAAAGGCATGGTTTCCACTGTCCTGTATTTTCCAGACTTTTTCCTTCTTTGGCAGATACAAAAGCCCTGAATGGCAGAGCAGAATCACACCTCAGCAGCAGAGTTCATCCTCAAGGGTCTCAGTGACCAAGTGGAGATGAAGGCAGCCCTTTTTGTGCTGCTGCTGCTCATCTACACCATCACCCTTCTGGGCAACACAGGGATAATTGTAGCCATCCAAGGTCACCCACAGCTCCACACATCCATGTACTTCTTCCTGGGCAGCCTCTCCATTGTTGACATCTGCTTCTCCTCTGTGGTAGCCCCCAGGACTTTGGTGAACTTCCTATTGGAGAAGAAGACCATTTCCTTTGCTGGCTGTATGGGTCAA